ATTTTCCTCTTCATCAGTTTACAAAATTCATTCCCAAAAAAGAAATAAGAAATATTTAAAACTTCTCACTGTGTGACCTGAGGATCACACAGATCTACAAAGCACCCCCCTGGCAAAATTCATTTCTGAGCTGACAGTGTTCCTCAAAGGACTTCCTCCACAACCATTTATAAAAGAAGCTGTGCTTTCTGTGTGCAAATTTCTGACAGTCCTGCTGTTTCAAAATTGAGACATGCATAAAAAAGCAAAGTAGAGATATTGGAGCAATGCCTACAGCAGCAAGGCTTAGAAATCTGTGAGGCACTTTCGTTGGTACTTCAGCTCAAAAGCAAAGCTGAAACTGGTTTTGGTAAAAGACTCCTAAACAAACAAAAAAATGTGCACAGCTAAAGACCATGAATGTAAACCCTTTTCATCACACAAGGAAAGGACACAAACCTGCTATCAGAAATGTATTTCCCTGACTTTACACAGGCACACCTCTCCAAACAGCCTCCTCTGCAGAGAGGTGTCAGCCTGAAAATCTCTGCTCATTTTCCCAATCCCTGCATCCAAATGGGGAGGGAAAGGGAGCTTCTACTCACAACACACCATCTCTTCACACTACTTAAACAAGATAAAGCAAGAAGGAGGGACAAAACCAACAATCTTGCCCCACGTGCCAAGTTCCACTTTAAGGTTATTTAAAGAAAAATACAGAAGGAACATAAGCTTCTGATTACACAAAGAATGGTCGTTTATAGAATACTTTGGAAAGTCAAATCTAAAACACTGTACTTTAAAAAAGCTCAAAATCCAGAAAGAACAAATATTTTAAAATAGCAGGAGAGTGTATTCCTCATCCCTTGAGCCAAGAGGGGTTACTCAACACCTCACATGGCAAATCAAAAGCCCTTAATTCCCTATCAGAGAAGACCCTCTGATCCTTGTTGTGTTAAATATTTTTTGTGCTACATCAAACAGATCAATGCACTCCCAGGTTTCTTACCTATTCTTCACATTTTAAACCACACTCAGTGTAAAGGGAAGCAGCAAAGACAACTTTTCAGCAGTTTCCCTTGAGCTCCAGCTTAAAGATTTTATTATAAGACTTCCTAGGACCTCAACATTTGGGTCATTGAGATTTTTTTATTTTCATTTTCCTTGTTAGCTTTAAAAAATACTTTCCACCGACAGATGCTGTAAGTTAGTTCTTGGTGACACTCTAGGAATTGCCTTGGGGATAGAGTATTACAAATGAAGTTACATTTTATGGTAAGAATGCAAACCAACAAACAAGAGCTAGTTATTTGTATCAAATTGTGATTCATATTTGATTTGCTGTAAGTGTAGAGCTACATCAGAAATTAATCTTGGATTATTTTTTCAGCAAGAGCAACTATTATATACCCTTAATTATGTAAGGTAGGTGGTGAGCTCAGTGCCTGAGCAGTTGCTATACTATTATGTGGCATTCTTTGTGCTGTCTTTATCTTCCACATCAGTCTCTTCTTGTGGGAATTAAATGCCAGGCTGTAAATCACTCTTGAAAGACAGCTGAAAAGCAAGCGTGCTTTCAGGTTTAATGAGCTTTCAGAAATGAGTGACCCAACAAAACCACCTAATTTTGCAGATTTGTTCTTTTTTGGGGCTTTTCTAAAGGTTTTTAGAAGAACCATTTTATGAAATGGTTTGTAACAATGAATAACAATTAATCTAAGCACTACAAAAAATACACAATTTTGATCATAGAAAACTAGCATAGTTCTGTTGGAATCCATGGGTCTATCCTAGCTTGGGTCAACCAAATATCTGACCTCATCTGGGCTTGGAATTTGAGGGAAATGTGTTACATTTAAGGCTGCTACTTTCCTTTTTCTATTGTGATAAAACAAAATGGATACAACCATACAGATTTCTCTAAAAGGAAGGTTTGCTCATTACGATCTCATGATCTGTATTTCTTCAAAATATGAAATACTTTACTTTTTACAGTGTTTTCCTGTGTGGGATTTTAAATACTAAGCATAAACAATGAGGGAAAGAAGCATCCACCACATTTTGTTGGACAGCGCTCCAACAAAGGAGATTCTCAGGTGGTTTGTTGTTGACCCTGAGTGAGAACTGCAGCCATTGGTAACTGTCCTTCTCATAATCTGTGAGGAAACCTTTCACTTCAGGTACATCTTCTACATAAGGATCTTGATTCAAATTTAAGCTAAAATAGCAGAACTTTATATTCAACTTTTGGAACTGCCAGGCTAAAGTATCTGACAGAGAAAAGAGTACTGTCAAGGCAGATACTACAGGAGACCTTTTTAGTTTTGCTCTTTCCTTGAAGATGTTGAGAGAACCATATTTCATATTTGGAACTGTGGTATATTAAGAGGCACCTAGTGACTTCATATTCTAGGAGTTTGAACACAACTGCAAAGGAAAGGTCATTTTTCAGTGTTACACACTGCCAAACCTAGCACTAGGCTTTCTATATGCCCTGACTTTTTCATGTAGTTAAGAAAACAAATACAATCCAAAGGCGGGCTGGAATTGTGCTGGACATATACTGGCTGTTATCAAAAGAATAAAGACTTGAAAGTAAAAATACATGTCAGCAGAACAGAAGCAAAGAAGAAACTAACAACAAAGTTAAATGCATGCCATTACCTAGAAGAAACGGAACACGATACTTTGGAAAAGCACCGAGTGGTATTTTTAGCCCCTGCGGGCAGTTAAGAGCCATTAGTTCAATTAGAAAGCCCAGATCAGGTCGTGCTGTCTCAGCTTTGTGTCAGAGGTACCTGTATGCTGATCTAAAGCCGAAGGCATTCAAGTGGAAATGGAGCAGGGCGTGACAATCTCTTGCTCAAGAGGTCTTCAGCTCAGCTGGTCTTCCTCTGCCAAAATCATCTTTCCCTCTCCAGGTATCCAGCAGCAAAGCAAGGGCAGCCTCTTGTGCCAAGCACCAAGTCCAGCAGAAGGAGCAAGAGAAACACAGGCACAGCTCGCTGCTGCACGGGGCTCATGGGGCAGAGGAACCTGTCCTGTTTGTGCTGCCACCAACTGCAGCTATTTTGGCTCTTGGCCTCCATCTCCAACCAAACAGGAGGCCAGTTAAAGCCTCTCAGTCCCCACATCCCTGGGAGCTCATGAAAGGACAGGGAAGCTCTCACAGCACACGGGTGAAAAATTCTTCTGAAGGAAATAATTCACAAATTTAAAAGAACAAAACCAAAACGTGTTTGTTTAATGTAAGTTTGATTAATTCTCACTCTGCTCCTGGGGACTCAGCCTCAAACCAAGCTAGACTTTGCTTCACAGCGTTTGACTTTGCATGCTACTTTTTTGCACCCTCTCTGATGAAGAAACGGGTGTGGGCTGCTACACTTTTTGCTGTCTTGCTTGACTGCAAAAATCGTCTAAGAACAGAAGCTCTTTGTGAGACAAGGCTTTTAAACATTCCTAATAAAAGCAGCATAATAACATTCTTCACTGTTCCTTACTTTCACGAAACAGATAATTAGACAGATGGCGAAAAAATCCTACTTGGTGCATCATTCCTTTCATCTGTTAACAACAGTAAGGAATCTTCCAGAAACTGGTAAAAACAATGATGAATAATTCCCTGCTTAATCCTGAACTAACCCTGTTCTGCCAACACTGGAATCTGAATGCTCAGAAAAATCTCAGGTTTGGACCTGTCAGTCTCACAGGCTGAGATTAAAGCATGTGATGGCATAAAATTCTGACAAATGCATTCACAAAGCTGAGATTGTTGCAGATTCATAAGGACAATTGTAACATAAATCAGTGACCTGTCTCAAGACCCTTACACCTTAAATATGCAGAGATGTACCTAAAGTGACAGGTAAGACTCCAGATAAAGAACTTTCTGGACAATTCTACCATTCAGGCTGCTTCATCCTTTGGTCTCTGTTACTGGACAAAAAGAGTGTGTCAGCATTTCTCAATCTGTGGTCCACACATCTGAGATGTTCCATGAGATATCAGATGCTCCTTTCCCCCCACTCAATTTTCTTCTCAGAAGACAGCTCTTTGATTTATCTACTGCAACACACCCTAGGAGAATGTCTTGTTTAGACTCTCTGCAGTTTTACACTTGTCCTCTGAGTACATGTTACTTGCATGGCACTACTCAAAGGCAGTTCTGACACTGACGGCATTAAGTAAGAAATATAACCTACTACAGGGTACTGCTCAGCTTCCCAGAATAAAATTTACTCGAGCAGAACTACTTTTATGGGTTTTAGCTTTCATATTTTCTACTTATGCTTTTTGTGTATAACATATTTCAAGACAAAGAATTAACAAAATTACCACCAGACAAGACTGTGCCCAGTTAAAGGCTAAAGGTCCTGCTCGGGTGTAGAAGATAAGAAATTATTAGCTGTTCTCTCAGGAGAGAGAAAAGAGAGAAAGCTATCACACCTTTGAAATGTCATCCCAGTTTGCATTTTCTCTCTGTGCCTCATTCGAAGCAGATGCTACGTTTTGGCAGGAAATTAAGAGCAAAACCTTCCTGCACAGATTAATTTCATGACTCAATTTGTATAAAATAAGCCTTCTGTGAGTTGAACACCACCCTTTGGAAAAACCTGACTGGGTGCTCCAGGCTGAGAAGAGGGGTGCTGTGGAGACTCCTGCACACTGCCAGCTGCTCCCTCGCTGGTCCTCACACATCTGACTCCTCTGTCCAGTGGGATTTGTGTCTTCCAGGGGGAACTACCAATGCCACCAGCAGGCTAAGCTCCACCCAGGCACAGGGGTGCAGCCTCTGTGGATGCCAGTGGGACTGCACCCACTATACCACAGCAGGACTTTCCACACTGCATCTGAAACCAGTTTGGGCCGCTGCCGGCACAACGTCATCTCCTGCCACCCGTGACACAGGAGGAGACATTTTGCTTTTCAACAAGGTGCCCAAATTAAATTACATCTGCAGTGCTGGGAGGGTCCCCTCTGCTCTGCTAACCACTCAGCACCACATGCACCCAAGGAAAAAATGTTTACCTGGTATGGCCACGGTTAACCTTTTTTCCTTGCTGAGACGGTGCCCATGGATGAATTCACTCATGGAAGGGGGGCCCCTCAGAAGATATGATTCTGTGGAGGCGGGATGAGGGGGGGCTCTTATTAATTTCTGGAGGTAGGTCCCTGAAGTCCTGGGATGGCTCTGATCACAAAGGGAAGGTGAGAATAGTCTTGCAGGAGATCCAAGAAAAATACATATGGAAACAAAAGAGTTTTACTTTAATTACCTTTCAAAGCCTCATGAATGACAATATCATCTTAACTTGCTCAACAGGTAAAAATCAACTATCGTTGACACCCCATGTCATTTCCAGAGCAGGACACCTTGCCTGCATTGGAAATCCTCCTTCACCTTAAGGAAGGAGGACATGAGGCTGGGTTGTATCTCAGCATCCTCAAGTCACCTTGTACAAGGTTTCCTGATTGTTCTCTTGGTTTTGCATTGTGATTAGAGCATACAAGAAAAGGGGATGATTATCTAGGACATTTCTAACAGAGTCCCCTTCATCTTCAAAACCATGGAGATGCCCACACCTAGAGCGTTTTGGCAGGGGCAGGCACAAGACACAAGCTCACTGCTTGAAGAGAAAAATATTTGCATTAGGTTATGAATGGCAGCCATCCCCTTCAAAAGGTTTCTTGCACCCACGTAGAAAAATTGATCTGAGTGAACACATCCATATTCTTTTCACACTGATAAAGAACAAGTGAGCACCAGAGCTTAACAAAGAAATGCAGCTTCTTTCATGTTAAGCACTAAAATGCTCATAGAGCACAATCCTTCTTTTATTTCAGATGCTCATTACGGAAAACCACAGGGAAAACTTAAAGAAAACTTGTTAAAGAAAATACATTCACACTTAATATTAAAGACATACAAGATGCACCGAGACACTGACAGAATATAGTTCAAAACACTGCATTCAGAAGGAGGAAATAACAGTGAGTAGGTGGATCAGAACCACATGTTGCCAGGCTTTGAATTTCATACTCATATCCTCCCCGCCTCCTTCTCCCCAGTCAAAGGACAGAAAGAAAAAAATAAAAATAAAGAAAGGAATCATTATGTTTATAATTCAGTGAACGACTTTAATGCAAGTCTGGCTACTGCACTGTACTGTAAAGATCACTGCATGCATACCTTTTCCTCTGAGTGCCACTGCTGACCAGTAAGTTTGGTTGCTGTGGGCCCTGACTATGCAGGAGGAAAGTGTCTATGCTTGGCACGGTGGCTGATGCCTCCTCACTTACTTTAGGGCTGCCGATCTTGCTCTTTCCCAGCTTGCCTTTGCTGCGCCGCGACTGCTCGTGGTCGAACTCTAAATCCTCCAGGCGCTGGGTCAGGGCAAGCTTTTGCTGGATAGCCATGCGCAGCAGAGAGTTCAGGGTCTTCTTCTCATCCTCTGCAGCCGCCAGCTGCCTCTGCATCTCATCCAGCTGTGTGACGTACTCATCACACCTGCAGAAAAACAGGGCAGAGATCTGGGGAAGCAGCCCAAGAACTGACCCTACCAGTGAGCACATTCCCGGGCTTCTGTTACAGAGCCAGACTCAGATCCCAGCTTTTGCTGCCCCTAATCGTGGCAGCTGGAAGCCTGAATTCTTCTGTTCCCCTCTGAATCAATTTGGACTTGGATCTGAATGTTCCATTCAGCAAGAATGGAACTTCCCATTCAGCCAGACAACCTGTGCCTATATCAACATAGTCTATGACAATGCAACATGCTTCAGATGCAATTGGAGGGGAGATATGGGATTATTTCCAGTTCAGACCACAAATAACAATTTTGGGTGCTGCTTCTACCAGTAAGTAACCATGGATAATAATGCTACCAATTAGAAAATACTATTTTCCACAGGCAGTCATATCCATTTCAAGAGAGTATTACAAAAAAGAGTGCAAGTAGTTTGAACACTTGACACACCAGATTTTGTGAAATGAGAAAGCTTCCATTATTTACCCTTGTTAATCACTTACTACCAAGACTACCATTAGTTACCATTGATTAAAAGGATACTATTAGGAAACCCCAAACCTGGAAGATATTTCACATTTACTGTTGAATTTCTTGGAGGTGCGTTCATCACTACTCCTTTTTAATCCTCAGCCTTTTTTACCCACATGAAAAATTATCTTTTCATTTGCTTTAGATCTCTGAGAACTGAAACCACCTTTCTTACGATTTTGTTCGATTTAAGACCAAGTTCAATTTATTTCTGCTTCTAGCGAAACTTCCCAAAGTTAAAAGGAAAAGCAAGGCATTTCAAAATTGTCTTAAATGCTTTTTGAAATGAATTAGCTTCAGTTTCATAGCAATAGACCATCTAATCAGTAAGAACCAAGAGCAATAAAAATAAATGTATCCCAGCACTGAGATGCTTCACAGACAGCAGTACTGCCTGGCCATCAGACATTTGTAAAAACACCCAAGAACTTTTCATGTTGAATGATGCAGCTTTCATCAGATCTCCTTCCCACAAGATCTGGGTGAATCTAAGTAGCTTTGCTGTGTAATTGCAATTGTGTAATGGATGAGGATGTAATTTTATCAGTATCACTTACAGAAAGCAAGCATAGAAAACTATTTTAGTCTTCCTTATCAAAATGGGTGATGCAATAAACCCTTGAATTATTGTAAACTGAGGGATGAACGTAATTTCTCTGAAATTTTAATCTTGCCCTTGGGAAACAGAACCAACGTATACTTGAAAATGTGTAGTTAGTTATTCTCCACACACAAATACTTACATATATATTGCACTTCCCCTTTGAACAATTCAGGCACTGTAAGCAAAATTACTGTGTCAGATACAGCTTCAGCTACAGTTTCAGTATTATCTTTCTTCTACAGGACCTTAATAAGCATGAATCCTGCTACCCAAGCCTTGAGGAAAAGAGGTACTTATGAAATGCCAGTTGGCTGAAAGCCAATATGCACACCTATTTCTGCTCCAGGCTGTGAGATGCATGTTGATGCTTAAGTCAGTTTCCTTGACAGACATGAAATCGGCATTCTGAATATTATAGCAATTCCTATTTCAAATTAATTTACTTTAATGTCTACGTTATCAGAGTTTTAAAGCCTCATTCTTGTAACCAGATGGGTCTTGTGTCCTTGTCTTTTATTGTCTCCTGCTTTCCTCTTTGTCCAAGTGACCTCATTTGTTTCCAAATATGTTTCCTGTTGAAAAATTTTGGCTGCAACACCTGCAGCAACTCCTGTGGCACACTGCCACTAGAAGAATGAATTGCCTTCCATTAATATGCCAATACATCAATTTTGATTTTGGAAAAAGTTTGATTTTTCTCAGGCATTAGAAGGTGTTTTTGGTATTTGTACATCTGATTTGTAAACAGCCCAACTGAACAGATAAGAAACATGTGCCATGAAGGTGGATATTACTAATGCAGTCTTAGATGAACTTGCTATAAACTGTATCAAGCTCTCTTGAGAAATCTGCATATACTAGATGCTATTAGCTGTTGTTGAGACAACACTAATCTCATGAATACATTTTCCAGCTGTTCTGATTAATTACATGTCCTCATGTCCTTCCTAGAAGTGTCCCTGTAAAAGCAAGCCTGCTTTTTTCTTTTCTTTTTTTTTTTTTGAGAAAGTTTAAAAGAAAGGTTAAACCTAAATCATACAAGTAAAGGCCTCAATTAACTTTAGAAACTGCTGAATTAACAGCCTCAGATCTCCTGGAATTTTGCAGCAGAGAAGGTTACTCTGTGTAGCGGGAAGTAAGAACTGCCTGCAGCCATAGCATTTCCCTTCACTGAGATACTCCCAGCTATGTGCAAGTGTGGGATAAAAGGAAAAGTGTTTCCAATTAAAAAATAAAAAAGCATTGCACACATCTATATTGCCTTTCACCCACACATTTGATAAACATTCATCAAGTCTCACAGAAGGAAGAGAAGGGTTAAAGATCTCCTAGGAGAGAAAGGTAGAGAGCTCCTAGGAAAGATGACTTCTGGCATGGCAGAGACCATTGCAGGGCTGCAGGATACTCCAGAGCTTTGAATGAGTGTTTCAGGAGAGTTCAAATAGTGATAGCAAAAGTCAGGTTATGTCCTCCTGAGCCAGAACTCTTCCCCAATTTCCCTCTTGCCCCAGGACAGGTTGTAAGCTGCAAGCCACTATTAAATAAGCAGCACTGTTTTCTTGCAGTCTGCTGGTGTACTTAGAGCAAAAGTCAAGGTTTCACCTATTTTTCATTCCTCTCATCTCAGAATGCAAGCAGACACATAAGCCCACTTTTTTTTATGAACTGATCCAAGAAGCTTATATAGGATTTTAAGGGATTTCTGGTTCCATCTATCCCTCTCGTCTAGGAACATAAACCTAATACCAAATCAGGCTTATGTGTAATTTAGGTAACATAAATCATAGCAGAGCTTGAGCTAAAACCCAGTGACACTGACAGTGACAGGTCCCTGCTCTAACTAGATAATCATAATTCTCTTCTGTTCAAAAATGTTTTCTCAGCTCCAGGATCTGTTCAATCTTCCTACTCAGTCTGTTCAGCACACATTTTTCTTTTAAAATTATTGTAAGAAAATATTTTGATGGATAAAGAATAAAATCCATGCATGCAGTGTCAGGACTATGGCAATATTTCCTGCTCTCTCCTGTTACACATCTAAGAGAGGTGTTCCAGGAAATATTCTTGACAGGTCTGAAGCACATAAATCCCAGAAAAGGAATCACAAGGCTAATGAAAGGGGAAGGAGGAAGCTGTAGATATCAGAATGTCAGAGATTTTTGGGTCAAATAAGCTGCTCCAGAAGGAAAAAGGGCAAAAGTAGAGGGACAAGCAGGGCAGAAGGACTTTTGAGACAAAGAACTGCAAAAAGAGCTTAAGGAGTGAAGGATGAACAAGTGTCAGGAAAAACACAGAAAAAGAAGGCTCCTGCTTTCTGCACAGGGGGGCTTTGGAGGAAAGTGTCAACTTTGCTGTTCAGACCAGAAACAGAAGTGCTGTGCTCTCCTTAGGACATGTGCTATGACCTTTATCCAGTGTATTTGAGGAAGGAAACACATAGTTCCATACAGCACCAGATGAACATCCACTTGGGGGCCAAAGTGATGCTTTATGGAAAGAGAAAGGATATTGTTCTATCAAACAGTATAAGCAACCATTTTCAGATCTATAACACAATTCTGCTATCAGAAGGACGATCTCCCTATGGTACAAATTCAGGAGTAAGTACCATGTGATGCACTATAACCATGGAAACCACTGTTTTATTCAACTAAAGACTAAACAATTGCTTTTTTATGCTGAGGGTGGCTACTGCATCTAATGTTACTGCACAAAAATCTTACAGCCTTGTATTTTCAAACAGATTTCTCCTCTTCAAAAGACTTGCAGAATATATCAACTCTCTGTCATTTAAACAAATGCTCTTCCAAATGGACTATTTGGAATGAGTCAATGATTTGACCATTTAGGAAGATTGATTTAATTATAAAGGCCATTAAACTCCATGCTAGGGAAGAAAAATGAATATTTTACAACAGAAAAATCTATAGGAGTATAATGATGTGGAAGACCTTGTAGTGAATCATTTTTTATAACTGTGCTCAGAGAATACTGGGCAAAAACTTAGGATGTCAAGGGCAGGGACATGTCCCATGGGCCATACATTGAGTGTTTAATCACTACTACATGGAGTTTACTAACAGCAGTAAATTCTTGGGGTGGGATTTATGACTACTAACATTAGAAATTTTTTTAAACTAAAAATGTGTAACTCAGCAGGTCACACAGACTCCTTTTATAGCTCATAGAAGAGGAACAGAAGTTTCTTTACATCCTACACACAAAGCATCTAGAAAAGACACCTGGATGAGTGGCATCGCTGAAGGCTAATTCTCATGGAGGGGATGCTGCTGCCTCCCATCAGCTCCAGGATGTGTCTTGAACCCAACTGAGATCTGCACTCAGGATGCCCTAATTGAGTAAGGAGCATTCAGTACACCAACAATCTAACATTCCCTCTAAAGCTTTGCAAACTACTTTTACCGCATGTGTTGATGATTTATGGCCCATTCAAGACCCTTGTTTTGCTTTATGCTCACAATGCCACTCCTCTGCTCCGGAGTTACCTGCCTTCCCATAAGCTCTTCCAGAGTGAGAACATTCCTGCATCTCCTAGAGCAAGGAGCTTGCACAGAAAGGTCAGCACATGCATTTCCAACACACACACACAACTCTCCTTTGTGGAAGAAAGCCTTTAGATGCCAATGAAATCAATCAGGCTACCTTGGTTCACACCACCTGCTGAGCTGGGTCTTCGTTTCCATTATGTCGCTACACGCGCTCCTCTGATGAAGGACCTATGATGAACTTGTACACAGCACCAATGTCATGACATATAAATGCCCCTTTTCTCCTTCCTTCCCACTTCTCCCAGCTGCTGCTGCCACTGTCACTAAGCAAAAAAGCACCTTAGAAGGCTAAAGTGGTGAGATGTCACTGCCAGCAGCACTGAAGAGATGTTGGCAGAAGGCACAAAGACGTCTTATCATTTATGGACTAAAGCACACACAAGAGATCTGTACTGTGTTTGACCAGAAGAGGGGGGAAAAAAGTCTTTGAGTATTTCCAAAATAAGAATTTATTGATGAAAAAGCTGGAGCTTAAAAAAAAAAAAAAAAGAGATTTTTAGGTAACCTTTTAAAAAGTGGCTAAGATGAAAAGACACAGGCTTTAAGCTGTGCCAGGGGAGGTCTAGGTGGTCATTAGGAATAATTTCTTCACAAAAAGGACTATCAGACATTGGCGTGAACTGCCCAGGGAGGTGGTGGAATCACATCCCTGGGGGTGTTTAAGGAAAGCCTGGACATGACTCAGTGCCATGGTCTGGATCACAAGTGCTGTTGGGTCATAGGCTGGACTCAATCTCAGAAGTATTTTCCAACCTAGTTGATTCTGTGATTCTGTGTAAAACCAAAAGGTCTTCTGAAGAAGATATGAGAGAAGGAAAGATGAAAGTTGATTAATTAGTGTCCTGCCAGCAGGAACTGTGTTACAGAAGATAAGTGAAGCTTTTATCCTGTGAAGGAGAAGATAATAAATTGAATATCACAGTGGAAGAAAATAAGAATTTATGCTGGAGTGGGAAATTACAGTAGCCTTACAATTATTAGCACTGGATTATAGCATAGGTTGGTTGATTAAATAGATTTTACTACTGGTAAGTAATAAATCTCACTGTAATAAAAATGTGGGGTTCTGAAGATCATCATTAACCATACGATAGCTTTACATGACAGAATCACTGCGTACTTCTGAATGGGAAAATCAGCCACATAAATCCTCTATTTGATTTCCACTTTAAAAAAACCTATAAATGCAAATATTCTGTAGCTGCCATTTATAACACTTTACTCAAGGTTGTATTGACACTGCTATTCTTCAGCTTTATTTTCCAAGACACACGTCTCAGCAGCACTTGAAAGCCTGCAAGTTCTGCACAGTGTGCATTCTAGGACTCATTCACCTTCATCCAAGAAACCCCTGACCATGCAGAAAATAATTTCTCTATCCATTAAGTGCCCAACACACACAGCTAAGCGTGTTCTCACTTAGCACACACATGTTTGCAGTGCTGAGCCAGGTGGTGACACCTTTTCCTTACCTGGTTGCAAACATTGCTCTCAAGGATGAGAAGGTTGCTGCATCTTCCTTCAGAGCCTTTAGTTCGTTCCGTAGCTTGGTCATGGTCTCAGTCACCATTGCTTTTTCATTTTCATATTTGTTCTTCAAATTGGCCAGTGCCACTTCAGCTGTCTGAAAACAAAAACAAGGATAGGTGCTTATGAGACAAAGATCTGAGAACAGCTAAAATCCCATGCCTGGTTTTGGGTTTGATGTCCTTCATTCACACAGTAAAAGAAATTAAACCTGATCTTCACTGGACTGCACACTTTAACTTCTTCAAGTTGCACTCCATGAAAGCAGGAAAAGGAGAAAGCAGCTGAAAGGACAAAGCCCATTTCAATGGCAACTGGCAACAACTCAGCACCTCAAGTATCTCTGCAAAACTGTGCAGCTGTATGTGGAGGGCTCAGGCAAGGGAGTAAAGTTACTGCAGGAGCTGCTGCCACCTTGTTTGAGCTGCAATAAACACCCAAGTGTGTCCCCTGGCACTTTGCAAACAGGAGACAGAGCACATGAGGCTCAGCCTCTGCAGCCAAGTTGTGAATCACCGTGTTTGGCCTCAAGCCTCCTGCTGGCTGAGGCTTTCCTTGGGCACAGGGATGGCCAGGACCTGGCAGCTTGATTTATGCCTGAAAACTGGCAATGTTCACTGCTGTGCAAACCGGCATTATTTCAGCAGTTTTAACCACTAAAAAAAATATATATATAATAAAAAAGTGTAAATTACTGCTTTCATTTAACAGGAAAGCAAAGCCTTGTATTTGTCCCATTCCTAAATTTTTGCTGCTCCCTTCTTTCTGTTTTCAATTTCATCCATTAAATTCCTTTAATTTACTACTGCACTGTTTTTAATAGTTACATTTGTCTTATATCTGCAAGACTTGAACATTCTGCATTACTTATTAATTTAATATAATTTTGAAGTTATTCAAAATACATAGTTTTATAGAGGCTTTTATACCTGCTGCTGCTTGAGACATTTAAAAATATTGCCTTTGAATGAAATGAAGAAAAATTTGCTTCCTTTTACATTTATTTAGAGGGTGATATGATTATTTTTTGCACTTCATTTAGTGCATAATAAGTTGCAGCAATTCTCACAGGAAATCAATTTCATCTGTTGATCTTATGGGCTCTTGAGCCACCACCAGGGGAGAGAAGGTTAGAAGAACATTAGGTTGGAACAACTAGCAAGGGAACAGGACAAAAGATGGTAATGACCAACCAGCTGGAAACCTATTTCAAACCCAGTTTTCCAAAACTCAATACATTTCTCACTAACGATGTCTCTTAACAAAAGGGCACATTAGAATCTCCTATAAATTACAACTTTATTCACTTGTGTCTTGTTAAATAACAATGTTAAAATAATTAATTTTTAATTGCATTACTCACCAATAATATTTTCTTAGTTTCACATCAATTTACATTAAGAGAACAGATTCTTAAAGGCCACTAGCAACCACCTATCATTTTAAATAGATGTGTTTTTCCAATCTAGATTTGAAATCATCAGCAATACATGTTAAAATTATCAACCACTTAGGGATCTATTTAAATCAATTCTGCTTCTTTCAACTTGCTGATATATGCTTTGGTGCAGTGTAGGATGGTGGACACCAGCCTATGTCTTGGCAGGATAAAGCAGAAATAATCAGCTTTTTGTCAGTTTTCAGCTGTGACCAAAATGTGCACTCATACATTACAGTAATTTACACATCACTGAAACTGTGCACAATGATCAGACAGACCATGCTCCCCATGATTTAGTTTGGATGTCAGGGTAAGTTAATGGATGTGCAACACTAGAGGATGAAAATATAGTTTGCTTGGTGAATAAAAGTAACGGAAGAAGGAAGGACTGAGTCAAATCTTCAAACATTTTTTTCTTCCTATTAAAGTTTCCTATGAAGCAACATAGAGAAAACAAAGCCTAAGCTTCAAATCCTATGGGAAATACTTGATGTTTCTCCATGCACCAGCCAAGCTGCTGAGGATCTCCCTCCTGAAAATCTCCTACGTGAAGAACAAATGGGCACAAGGGCTCTGCTAGAGAAGCAAATAAAACTAAAAAAAGGTGGGTTTAGTAGCAAAAGAAAGGAGGGGAGCACAAACTGAGGAAGCTTCTCTTGGAAATTTGGGGAGCCTGAAGAGACAGGAAACTTGCCTGAATCCTGAGAAGACCCTGAAGCCTGAATATGTAATGGAGAGTGAGACAGGGGATAGAAGACGAACTCAGCCGCCATCTATCAGAGACACTTACAGTGTCTGGTCACCTCAGCTGGACTGTCACACTGCCAAACTAACAGGGACACCAAAATTGTACCCACTGAGCCATGTATGTCTGGTGATGTCTGGTGCCAGTTCCATAGGATAATCTAGATTTTGGTAATCTAGAATAGTGTATACAGAGCATTCTCTGAAAGGAAGGATGGGACAAATAAAAGCCTTCATCTCCAAGTAGTGGGTGCCACAAGAAAGCAGATGGCAGGACCTGGCATTTTTTTAAAGTTGCAGGTAAAGAAAAAAAATTGAATCAGAAAAATCAGAGAATTTTTTTCCACATAAAATGCAATCTCGCAACACACAAATAGATGGCAAGCACAAGAAAAAAGATTAAAACAAAGAAAAAAAAAGCATGACTATTCTTCAGTGAAGTAAATAATCCAATAAGACATCAGAGGTGCTCATGACACTGTCTTGTCAGACCAGTCATGCTGAGGAACTGGGCAAGCAAAGCACCCAGGCTCCCAGCCAGGCACCTGCAGACCTGGGATTGAGATTGATGGCTCACTGTGCATTTACTGTGGAGAAGAAGTCACCTGGAATTGACAGCAACGCCAGGAGAGAGCCGAGAGCTCCAAGGCCTGGACTCCAGCAGGGAGTGAAATATCAGTGAGGAAAAGAGAGCTGGGGACACGAGGAGCTCAGCTCCCTACCCAGCCCCAAAGCCCAGCCCTGGAGGTGAATTGGCTGAGGTCAGTACACACCTGAGCCCAGGATCTCAAGCACTGGCACAACTAAGAGGGTCCTTTTCCACCTTCCTCTGTATCCTTACATCCAAATATCCTTGATGTTTGCCCAAACTCAGCCCAAAGGTTGTCATCTTCATCCTGAAATCTGTGAACGAATCTCATTTTCTAAGACAGCTTTGTATCTCATTTACTTTTTATCAGCAGTGTGAGAAGCATACCATTTAAAATAATTGTTAATAAATACTAAATAATCCTACACTGGTAGGATTTTTATGTCACAAAAAGCAGAAAACTAGCCCATATTTTTAGAGCAGAAGTTGTACCTTGACTTTTCATCAAGCCTCTCTTTCACTGGAGAAATTCTACTGTGTTCTGTCCATATAGTATCAGCATTAGTTTATAGATAAAATTCTGTATATCTGGGGTTATCAAGGTATTTTTTCTGAAAGACTTTCATGGGTATTGCAGTTATGGAAGCTGCAGACACCACAGTTAATAGCTAATGCAGACATGAAGGTCTTGCTGACTCCATTCTGCCTCATTGAACTATTTACCTACGAAAACAACTAATCAGCTTTCCATCAGAACTTCAGGGTATTAAATTTCCCTCATAGGCAGCTTTACTTTCTGATTAGAAATCAAAATCAAACCCATTATTGAACCAGTCCTAAAAATTACTGCATCATTAATTTGATTTTACTTTCCCATTTATGCTACTTGTTAATGTTTATTCCACCAATCAGGTGCAGACACAGTAATTTGGGCTATGAACAAATGGATACATAAATCAGGACAAGGTAAGCAAGCAAGCCAGCAAGATCTATGTGCCTTGCTTTCTTGAGCTATTGATTTAATAATCCATTTTCATGGACTTAAGTTTGCATTTTCTTACACCAAATCTTGCTCTCTTTTTCCTGCAAGAGCTTTGTGAAAATAAAATAATACTTATAAATAATATTTATTAATAAAATAAAAATGCTTATATGCAAATACTACTGACCAACACTACATACCATCTGTGCTTCCCTAGTTAAGGATGATTTTTCACTTAAGTACAGTCCAAAAGATCAGACCTAAGGAAGGGAAAAGAATCCCCAGTCTTTGCTTAGAAACTTTCTTTTGAAGGGGAGGACCTCAAAAGAATAAATCTTAACTCCTGTTTTTTTGAACATGAATCAAAACATGAATTTGGGTTCTAGGATACACCCACCACTTGAGGCTGGCACCTAATGAACAACTCTTCCCCTCTCCAACATTAACTTTCTCCTTCTCTTTACATTATTGTCTTTTAGCTTGAAAGTTTGAGGAAGCTGATATCAGGCTTGCATGGACAAGTATTGCAAGTTTCTGTACCCAGTTGTACAGTTACCAATATCTATGCTGCTATCTAATAAATAAAAGATTAGTTAATAGCAGCTCCTTAGTCAGCAAATCTATCTTTTCCATTTCAGTGAGCATGCCTTAGGATAACGCATTATTTCTGACACCAATAAAAGAGAGAGACTGAGATAGATCTTCTGGTAGCAGCAAAAAATAAATGATAGCTCTACGCTAATGGGAAAAATCTTTAATTTGGAATCACAGAATGTATACCCACATACATCAATTCCATCTAAATTATATTTTAATTACATGGAAAATCTACATATAATTGCTTAGAGCTATTATTGCTTAGCTAGAGATGGTATTTAATTACTTGACTTAATATTTAACATGTGTTGTATCAGGGAGAGAGGGAAATGCTACAAAAGACTCAATATATGTTGAAATATTGCTGCAATTTAAAAATCCCCAGTACTCTATGCAGTTACAGATACACCAATCAATTAAACTTGAAATTGTAACTTCAGAATAGTTGACTATTGGGAATTTTAACACTGAAATCCCGTCATTGTCAACAGCTAACAGAGTGCCAAGCTGTTAACCAGGATTCAAGCCCCCATGTGGTGATCCCTGCACTGTTTTCAGATGGGGAAAGTGCCAGGCAACCTAGAACGAAACCACTGCCACTGCAGCCTTTTGCATTCAGATTTAATTCTGGGCAAAAGGAGATGCATCAAAGTAAATAAAACTATTTGCATGTTTAAATTTAGATTTTTTTACAGTGTTTTCAAACCTGGAATCTAATGGATGCCAAGGGCTTGGTAGATATACTACACAAAGAAAATTGACAGTACTCTTGAAAAACATAGCAATAAGATGGATTTCTTGTGACATTTATTATCAAGTACTATAATTTCTGGCTTCTTTTCATTGGTGAAACATCAAAAATAAAGTGGTTGGATGAATTCCTCTTAAGATTTGAAAAAAAAAGCTCAAAATAATTCCTTGAAGATTTTTATTTTCCTAAATAGGAAAATAGAAGAGCATAGGAATAGGAATAGAAGAGCATACCACTGAGAGCTTCTTCAGGGACGTTCTTTTTTGTTTTGCAACCAACAGTTTGTGATAACACCAGCAACATGCCTGGGCTGGTCCCTGCTTACACCTCTGATGGTCCCTGCCTACACCTCTGATGAGTGAATGGTGGGTGCTGAGAAAAGCAGAACTGAAGTGTTTAAAGAAGAGACTGGGAGGGGAGGGAAGGATGGTGTGTCCTTGCTGTGAGTGAGTGAGAGGCTAAATAACCTGTGAGTAAAACCTCTCCTCCAAAGTACCCCTGTGAAAGCTTGTAAGTGACCTGTATAAATAACAGACTTTCCAGAGTGCTTTAGGAGCCCCTTACCTGCTTGTTGGCTTTCAGCACCGCCCTCAAGGTCGCGATCTGCTCTCTCTTTGTACTCAGGAGCGACTTGAGCTTCAGGATCTCCTCCATTAAGGCCTCCTTGTCCTTGTCGATCATGGGCGCCAGCTCGCGGGCCGCGGCCCGCTGGCGCGACAGCTGCAGCGACCGGTCCACAGCCTTCTGCAAGTGCTTGATTTGGTCCCTTATTATGGCATTGAGGTTGTAGATGTTCATAGGCTCCTTGCGGATGTCACTGGTGTCAGAGACGGGGGAGGAAGGAGGGGCTGTGATGACAGGAGAAATGGAAGGTGTTTTTGTTGGGCTCTGCTCCTTGCCGGGCTCTGCGGCCTCCTTCGTCACCTGCTCGGTCGGGGTCCTGGCTTCGACGGGCGATGCCACCCCCCGCCTGGCCAGTCGTGGGGAAAGGAGACCTCGAGGGTCATCAGGCCCCTTCAGGCTCCCACTGCGGGTGACCCTGCTCTGCCTGTAATAGTCCAACATGACCCTGTTGGGCGTCTCGTTGTTGCACAGGCAGACGTGGTGGTAGAGCTGAGCCAGCTCCTCACTGAACGTCACCAGCTCGTCCTGGGCAGTGTTAAGGGTATTGTGGTTTTCGTTTGCTATGCTTGTCATCCTTTGTAACTCCTTCTCCATGTGGACCATTTTTTCCTGGCTTTCCTTGGTCGACTTCTCCAGGCTTGTCACCTGCTCGTCATACGTCTGGATTCTGCTCTCATACTTGGCCTTCTCTTCAGTGTAGTTTTCCACATACTTATTATATTTCTCCTTTAAGGCTTTGATTTCTGCTTTAAGGTCTATCACCTCAGTAACAGCTACTTTGTATTTACATTCCAGGATCTCCAAGCCATTGATGTCCACCTCGTAGTCGTGAGCCTCCTCGCCAGAATCTCGGCCCTTCTCACAGTCCAGCTCAACCTTCAGCTCCTTGTTGCTCTGCAGGCCCCTCATGGCGTTGACGTGCTCCGTGAGCCTGTGCACGCGCTCGTGCTGCTCTGTCAGGGCTCCCTTGGTGTGCTCCAGCTGTGTCTGAGACTCCTGGAGGTTGGCCAGGAGAATGGCCTTCTCCCTCTCCACCTGCAACAGAGCCAGAGTGAGAAACCCAAGATCTCATCCCACCCATGCTGAGCACCAAACTCTGCAGCCCCAGTCACCTCTTCCACCCACCACTGCCTGCAGCTTGAGGGCTTCTGAGAGATTTTAGCCATGTACACCTAAACCACAAAATTAATTTATAGAGCACCTCTCTGTAACTCTCACAGGTTTAGGAAGTTTCAAGCTCTATTACAACTTCCAATACCACTAGATCACAATTTTATATGTTGCCCACTGAAGAATTACCAAGTGCCCAAGCACTGTCTCATCAGCTAGAGTGATGATACAGGATTTATTAGGACATATGTTCCCTGAACACAGAAACTGCATCACTGTCAGCTGTGAGACATTTCTCAATAGAGCTTGAATTTATATTTCCCTTTAACAGTTCTACCAATCTTTCACAATATTCATTTATATCTTTGAACTGCTGCACACTTCCATTAATGCATAAAAAACTAGCTGTGTACATTTCCACAGATTGAATAACCTATATTGTGAAAATGTAGCACAGATCACACAGTTAACACTGAGCACAGGCAACTCCCAGGACTGCCCATCCCCAGCACTTATCTGTAAGCAAAATCCATCTGTTTAAATTCAAGCCAGAAAAAGTAGGACTTGCAGTGTAACTAACAACCCACTGGTTGCGACCTAGTAAGTTTCTTTCCAAATATCCACATAGAAAAGTGGACATTGAAGAACAGAAGACATAATGAAGGACACCTCAAGAAGTTTTAATTGCACAGCAATTTTAAAGCAAGTGAAAAAGACAAACTTACAAGTTTGATCTGCTCAGGTATTTGCTACTCACCATAAACACCCCTGAACGATTTCCAAGTTTAAAGTGTAATGCTCCAACTTTTTCCTGTGCCTTGGTCCTGTTCTGAGGAGTCAAGTGGGAAGCAGAGGAATGCTTACAAAGATCCTCCTTCCTGTCATGACTTCTACAATAAGACCCTGATCCTACCAGGTTTACTGATCTTCTCTCCCCCTGTTGCAGTATCTTAGCACATGCAGTGAAAATGGCACTTCCCTTCATAAGTGCTGCAATTATTAATTCTGAGAATTTGAAGTTTTCAGTTATGAAGAAACTTTAAAAAAAAAAAGAAGCTAACACAAAGTTTTCTTCCCTATCAGTAGTACGTGGAAGAGAATCCAATTAGCCACCATAAATCTTCGTAAAGGAAAAGAAAAGCCTTTCAGAAACTGAGAAGGTATTAATTTCATCTCACAAAATGTTCTGAGCAGTGCTTCAAACTCTTGTTTCCTCTTAACCAGGCTTTTGAGCCATGGCTGCTGCTCAGAGGTACTAAGACACTGGAGCACACAGTGATCCCTTGGTTTCACAGACAAGCTCTCAAAATGTGGCCTCTACTGGGATCTGCAATCAACTGCAGGCAGAAATGTACAAATAAAAATAGAAGCCACGATAAAACATCTAAAAAAAATCCTACTTTTATTGTATACAGGGGACTGATGCCTTAAGAAATAAAAAAACAGTGCCAAACCTCATCATTATTTTATGATCCAGGAAGAGATTCTCTCTTTAGATACGAAGTGTTCCACTTTTAGCACTGCATCATCAGTGCAGAAGAGGACAGCCAAGAACCACAAGTATTTTGGTATCCTCCTCCATTTTTCATTCCCTCAGTATGTCTACCACCCTCATTGTTGCTCAGCCCCCATATCAGCCCACTCTTGAACATAAAAATCAAAATAGGGTAAACTTCCCTTTCGCCAAGTGCATCTTCTTTAAGCAACCATTTTCTACAGATCTCCTGGTGAGGCCTGTCCTGGGACCCTCAGAGACCAACCCAGCAGGAGTCTCTTCACCAGCTTTCCTCTTTTTTTTTCACCAAGCTGCCTGCCCCAGGTCTGCTATCCCTAGAAACCTTCAGCTGAACTCCAGTTGTGACCACTTGGTAATGCAAGCTTCAGTGTTAGCTACACTGCCCTCAGCAGATGCAGGTATTTATTCCTTCAGATTGGTAAGGTGAGCTATGAAAATGCACAAAAAAATCTGTTTTTTGGCTAATGAAAGGATCTTCTCACCTTACAGTGAGAAATGGTAGTGATAATAAAGAACCACATATTACACACCAAGGGCAGTTGGATTATTAAAGTCTATGAGTCCACTGTGGGGCATGTTCACACCAAAGAAGCCAATTCACTGTATATTGTACCCATGTAAAGATAAATATTTATTTTAATAATATTTATTATAATAAAGCCTTTCCTTTGAGAAAATACCTGTGTGTTAAAGCAGCACAGTGATTCAGTGCCTGCTTAAATTAATCAGACAGAATTGATCCTGCAGGACCACTGATCTGAGCCATTAAACCCTATCAGGAAGAAAAACTGTAGCAGGGCTAATTTGGATCTTGATGATAATTTCTCTTCTGAACATAAATGGGTTCTGGAAACACTCATTTCAAACAGAAAGGATTCTTTCCAAAGAAAACATTTTAAACTTTTAAAACGCATATATCAACTTGCACAGCAAGCAAAAGGAAATACACAGATCTCTCAATTTTATTCATTCTGGACCAGCAATAATGGATTAAGCTAATCCCCTTCTGTTTAAAACCATAAATACATGCTCCTACTGCCAAGGGAAAAACCCCAAAGCTCCAGCTCAGTCCTGAGCACACCTTTTGCATATTAATGACTCTGCTGTTCCCAAATACAGTAATAATATTTCAGTTCTAGACAATACTATATTCTTATTTCCACCACAGCAAACTTATGGCAACTCCAGGTATTTTGCAGCCCAGTTGGTGCAATTTTTTGATACTGGAACTGATAGCTGCAGTAAGGATTTTTATCATCTTAAAATGAAAATAAAAGCAATTCAAAAGTAGCTGTCTCCTATATCCTTCCCTTCAGAGATTTCAGCTTGAGGAGATTTCCTTCCCAATTTGCATCTATAGCTTGCAATTTTGGAAAGCAATTTAACCATACCCACTTATGTCATCACCTTTTTCTTTCCCTTTTTTTTAAACAACATCAGAATTTCAGTGAACAATTCTTGGGGGAGACTGGAACAAATTAACAGGAGACCTCATCTCAAGAACCCTGAATCTCAGCTATAGCATATTTGCCACAAAAGTACAAGGCAGCTGAAGAAGAGTGTCAGAAACTGAGCTGCAGGGAATTTTTATTTTTCTGCCTTTTTAAAGAGAATTTTATCTAAAGTTTTCCAAATATGATAGTGGCCTCAGAAAAAGGGAAAGCATGACCATGGGAAGAAAAGAAGTCCTAGACTTAAAGAATGAGACAAATAACTTTTTCCACTGCATAACAAACAGGAAGGAAGAGCACAAAGCCCTGAACTTTTCTAAGAAAATCTCAGAATATGAAATTTTTCAGCAGGACATTTGTTACACAGCAGATATATATATGGAACAGGAATAGGTGCAATTAAATGTCTCCAAGGACCAGCACAGCCCATGAAACAGCAGCATTCAAAAGCTGTAGAAAGAATTCTATTTGTTATGCTGTTTCAGTGAAGTCTTCTTTATGAGATAGAGGAGCAAAAACAATTTGCCAGACACCCTTACAAAATGGCAAATCTGAAGTTTACTTTTATCCTAAAAAGGAACTTGATGTCCTATGGCCAAAATAGTTCCCAATAAATCATCAGTTCCTTCAGAAACTCTGTCCTAGTGCAGCCCTTTCACAAAAAACAGGAGGCACTCACACCAAATATTGAGATACAGCTGAATGAACACCATATGGCAAAGACACTGCAGAGGCGGAAAAAAATCCAATTTTGCTGATTATTTACCTTTAAAACCTGATAAGTCTCACATCTACCACACAGAAAACTTTTGGCAGAATTTTTCACATTTAATTTGTATGATCCAAATTTAATTTGTGTGATGTGAACTGACGTAACTCAACAGAGAAGATCACTGTAAAACACCAGCATTTGCAGTGACTCCTTGTGGTATCTAAAGGAATCAGGCTTTCACTGAGGTCTAGTGTGTCATTTTAAACCACGAACCTTTTCACAGGATGTAAATGCCAAACAGTGGTGACCACCATTGGCACAGATGTGCTGGGGCCTAGCATCAAAAAATGCTACAACCAAAAATAGTTAAAATTTCTTTCACAGGCTCCTAAGTTTGTTCCTAGTGGCTGTGAGAAGGCTGCTTCTTTGTTTAAAAGATGTAAGTTTTTAACTCAGAGAAGATAAAGAAAATTGCAGTATCCTTCAAGCAGAAGTTTGCTAACTCATCATGCTCAGCACTGAATTTAATAAAATCAAGAAAAAGCATACTCAAAGCAACACTTTTTTTTTCAATTTCTAAGCAACTTTCACTCAAAATTTATATTGCATATATTTCATTGTAAATTATGGTTTAAAACACAGTGTATTTTGAAGTGTGAACACTTCAAAGCGTTTCTTTTGAAACTGTGTGTTTTAATTTTTAACACTGTATTTCTGAATCAAATTAGAAGCTGCATATAATGTATATAATATGTATACATACATATATATATATGTGGTATTCATATTCTCTGAACAGAGGGAAACATAAATCTCTCTCCCAAGATTTTCCCTGGGGAAGTCAGTGAGAAGCTCAGAGAGGAAGAGAAAACAATTCTTATCTCTATTTGCTGCTCCTGTTGTTTGGCACATGTGGAATGTGTTATGGAGACTGTTTACCCAAAGTGATTTGTTAATTGGATTCTGCTCATGGTTGTTTGGATTGATTGGCCAATTAGGTTAAAGCTGTGTCGTGACTGTCTGGAGACAGTCATAGGTTCTTCTTTAGTATCTCTTTAGTGTAGTAACTCTTTATTATAGTATAGTATTAGTGTAATATAATATAGCTTAATAAAGCAATTGTTCAGCCTTCTGAAATCACTGGAGTCAGAGAACATTATTCCCTACATTGGGGTCACCCTGCATCAATACATACATACATACATACATACATATATATATATAAAATGTATGTATTACATATATTCATGTATATGTTCTTCCAGGTGCATATATATACAATATACACTCGGTTTACTTTAAAATTGGAAGAGTTTAACTGTATTTGTCATATAAATAAAATCTTGTATTTGAAGCTTTCACACTCAAATGATGTACCCTTTGTGTCAAAGTTATTGGTTCAAAGCACTAGCTATCATCCATGTTCACCATGTCACAGCTCAGATCAAAACATCCCACAGTGAATTTGGCAATGAGATAAATAAAACAATTAACTCTTCTTGAAACAGGACAGACCACATAGGGATTTGTTGTTCCCTAGCAAGCACTGAAAATTGGTTTTGCTCTACTTCACTTCCAAACAACCTTCCACATTTCAAGCAGTAAAGGGCTGATATTTCCCCTCTTTAGAAGAGGTGCTTTTCAGAAGCCTGAAGCTAGAAGATGCTGGGCGTTTCCTTGACAGTGCCAAAACCTTTCAAGCTGCTGTGGCAGACGAGCTGCTCACCAGCTCAGGCAGCAGGACCCTCTCTCTGCGTGGCACCGCACCCCTTCTGAGATGATGGCAACACTGGGGCTGCCAGCTTGTGCCTTCCTCTGGCTCACATCCCAGGCTCCTGCTCTGGCTGGGCACGGATGAGCAGGAACAAGCACTGGATGAACAGGGAACAAGCGCTGGCTGTCCCAGCCCCAGGCACCCCCTGCAGCCGCGCATCCGCCGGGGCTGCCAGCGGGACAAGGGCGCTCTGTGACAGCCCACACGCCACATGCTCCCGGAGCACGGCTGTGGAAAGCAGCCCTCCCCTCCTTTTGTTCTCCCTGACCGCCTGCCAAACCGTGCTCGAGCTGAATTCAACGGCAGAAACTCCCTCTGACTTGCAAGGGACCATGATCAGATCTGTAGATGCAGATATTTTAATGAGGTTTTTTTCCAGATAGCTTATTCATATTGAAGAATGCCATATTTCATTTGCAATTTCAAGAACATTCACCACCACGAAAGCAGGAAAAAAGGAATCCAACTTTCTGTAACCCCAGCATCTATGTCCCTTTCTCCCCTTTGTACTAAATATCTGCTCAGGTCACACTGACTTTTATGCAGGGGTACCCCTAGTAATACCCCTAGTAAACTCTAGGGGTAGAGTTTACTAGGGGTATTTACCATGTTTACTAGGGATATTTCTGGCAAAACCTGGATATAAAAATCCACCAAAGACAAAGTCTGGAAAATGGACACACATGGTCAAGAACATCACCACTGCAGAACTGGCACGAGGGCTCATAGGATGTGTCTAAACGCTCCAAGAACATTAAATTCAGCCCTTACCTGCATGAGCTGCTGCTTCAGTTTCTGTATCTCCGATATGTTGAGCTCACTGAAGAGGTCAGAGACGGGGTGCAGAGATTCTCCTTTCCTACTCGTGGGAGTTCTGTAGTCACCGTTGAGTTTCACCAGAGGCCCGTGGATGTGTCCGTTCATTTTGTCGTCATTGTTGGGCTCACCCCCGTCCTCTGAAAACTTCAACCCATCTACTGATATATTAATATGGTTATTATACATACTATCATTGAGGTTGATATACTGGGCCAGTTCCTTTCTCAGATTGTTCTTTTGCTCTCTTTCATTTTTTAAAGTTTCCAGAGCTTCCTCCAGCTGATGCTCGGCAATCTCCTTCAGCCGGATGGCATCTTCTAGCTGGCTATTAAGCAACACTGTCTCCTCCTCAAATCGTTTAATCTCATGCTTTAAGCCTTCGTATTCAACCTGAATTAGACAAGACAAAGAACATTCATAATACTAAAACTTGAGTTGTGGAAACCTGCCATTTATCAGCCCTGTTGAGATAAGTGTTAGAGAAACTGTGGCTTGGAACACCAGACACTGCCTGCTGCTGCAAAGAACTGATTGAGCAAAAAGTACAAGTGGAGCTCTCTCTGTTAAATACTCCACTGCTCACTTTTTCAGCAGGTGAGACTCAACAATTAGAAAATCTCTTTCTGAATAACTTATGATAAGCAATGAAATTTCATGGGAAGAAAGCTGTTTATTAGCAGATGTCCTGGTAATAGCAGATTTACTATGAATTGCCATAAGCAATGTTGGTATATCATGGTATTCAGAGATCTTAGGTTAATATAGCCTGATATATTATTTATATATTATTTATGTAAATATTCTGAAGATGACCTCATATCTCAGTTCCTACTAGATGTAAAGTCACTCAGGCACAGATACTCTCAAGTATCTTGGTAGTGTTCAAAAATATGGATGGAAGGTACAAAACCAGTAGAAGGGTCTCAACTCTCTTCTCTGTACTTTACAAGGCTCTCCATTACCCCAGAGACATTTAATTTTAAAAATTAAACAGGAAGCTATTTGTACAGTCAGTTTAAACTCTAAGATGCCCCAAAATTTCTAGAGATTTTTGAACTGCCAGAGGAATGCAGCAAACAGCTCATGCAGCCCCCCACAGTCCCTGGACTGTGTGCAGGGCTGTCCCTCTGGAGCACACAGGAACCTGCTGCTACAACCACAGTGCCTGGAATGTGTCCCAGTGACACCCCCTGGCAGCACTGGAGGGGCTCACTGTTCTGTCCTGCCCCACAGATATATATATTAAAAATACCACCAAGGTGTGGTATTTTATCAAGGTATTTATGGGCATTGTGAGCTGAGCTAAACAGCAGCTTCTTCTCTGTCCTTTACAGGCAGCTCCCTTGTTCAGTCCTCTCCATTTCACCTCAAAAGAAACCAAGCCTGGAAAAACCCAGCCTAGCTCAAAACCAGTTGATCAACAAGACCCAGACAGTGCAGGAGATCCCCACTGCAGAATGCTTCCCCTTTGCTGTCCTTCCTCATCTTCCTTTTCACTGTTGGAAAACCCCACAGCAATGAAAAGGAAGAGCTTTGTTTGTCAAGGTCCATGCCTACACTTGACAAGCATTCCTGGTAAAAATGATGGCACTTTGTTGGTTTTTTTTATTTAATTCTAATCATGTTAGTCATCTGCATCCTTATTTCAAAATGGAAAAAAAAAGTCACATTATCAGGTGAATTAATTTAATAGCTTGGTGAAAGAGGGAAAAAATGCCAAATTTTCATGCTTCCATAAAAAGCCCCAATTCTTTGCAGTTGATCCTTTTATAATTCAAACACATTACTATCTGCTAGCTTAATGCCTTGTGTGTAATTTTTTTATACTTGACATATATGGATTTTTAATCAAACTAAAATAAAGTTCTGGCAAAAAAAAATATGCACCATTCCTATTGAAGTAGAATATTTATCAACCTGTCAAAAGTCTTTGACTCATAAACCTTTGGGAAGGCAAACTCAAAAACCAAAGCACTGATCTTCAAACCCAGAAACTGGAAACATATCAAACAACAAAGTCCCAAAGTCATAGTGGGCATTCTTAAATAGAAAAGGAAAATCCATGAGAGTTTCAAATCTACATTTCGCAATTTAATCTCTTTCCTCACTGGAGGAACAGAACCATCTGGAAAAATTGTGAAATGCAATCAAGTACCTATATTTATAACTTAAGTACATGAAAAAAAGCCAAACCCAACAAAACAACCAACACTTTTTCAATTTTAAATACACATAAAAGCTAAAGGTCTATATCTCTATGGTTACCTTCTCATTGACTCTAAAAAGCGACAAAAAACCCCAAGATGTAGATAATGACATCTTAGCACCAAGATTTATAACATATGGTTTTGTAAATTCAACCATTAAAGTATAAAGTGCTCTTAAAATTTTATCTTGTAGATTAAAGTAATTTTAGGAATCACAAGTGCATGGGTCTGTGATGGAAAATGACTGATTTTTAAAGCCCTTCAAAATGTGGCAATGCTTTTTCTCTCCACAGACTGTTGGCATTTGGTTTAAGTTAGAATGAAATATTATGACAAATATAAACACCTGCAAACAGATTTCACTTTTGGGGGAAACTAGGACAGTCCATAAAGGAGTCCTAGTTTACTTCCTCAAAATGTGAAAATGTCTCCTATGAGGTTAATGAGAAAAAAATCCATGCCTCAAAGGAGGAATTTGCTGTCTGGGTAAATAACTCTGGCAACAAAGATGATCTGCTGTGAATTCCATTTCAGGAGTGTGAAGGACTAGGCATCTTCATAAATAAGGAAATTATGCACCCATTTCTATTACCTGTGTATTCCCTGCAGCACAGCTCTGTTGTTCTAAGTGTTTCAATCGCATTTGTGCTGCAGCAGTAAAAAAAGCAGTAAAAGAGAGCTGAAATAGCACTGCTTATTCCTGCAGGAATATAAGGCAGCTTTGTTCCCAGGCTGCCAGCAGAAACTGTGACAGGGCTGGCTCTTCCACAGAAGCCCCAAGAGCACCAGGCAATAGGTCAGGACACAACCAGGAGCTGCAGAGCAGAGCTGTGACCCTCTGAGGGCAGGTGAGGAGAGGGTGTTATGAAGTGCAATGTTATGGTGGTCTAGACAGCATCTAAAAGGCAGGAAGTGTTATACCATCCAACATGGATATTTTAATTTTCATCATCACAAGTTAACTTTTTTGAGTTAAGTTAAGCTCTTTTGCTCACTTTAATGGACAACTGGCTGCTGGGCATTGAGTTCCTGAGGGACAGGAAAAGCATGAAGTAAAAAGATCTCTCTTTTAATAATTCCTCTGTGATTCCATAGTTCTGCAATGAAGTATTCCAATTTTTCACAATTTTTCGAAACTGAGATAAGAGCCTGCCCATATTTCAAAAATGGGGACTAACACCATATTAGAATAAGTGATTAGCAAAAACCCAAGTGGAAAAAAAAACCCCAAACATAAAAAGGAACTTCTATCAAACTGCCCTCCGGGATCATATAATAGAAATTGGAGAAAATAGTGACAATTTACAGCACAGTGCCTTGAATCTTTCCAGGCTTACTTGATTCTGCTTCAGTGTGGACACCAGTTTCTGTAAAGTGATGTTTTCCTCCTCCAGCTCAGTGTAGTCCTGCAGCAGCCTCGCCTCTCGGAACTTGTACTCTCGAATCTCATCTTTCATCCGTATCCTCTGCAGCTCCACCATCTCGTTATTCTGGCAGGAGACAGCACAAGGACATTACAATCCACACACAGCCACGTTAATGCTGAACACTGCCTTCAGGAAAGGCCAAACAGAAATTAATCCTGAAATAGAAATGATTTAATGGTGCACATCAAAACACCATCACCTATTGATGTGAGGCCAAGCAATCATTTCAGGTGGGTGCTGGCAATGCAGAAATGACAACGTCCGATAGAGAAGCCTGATTAAAACAGTTTCAAGATTAGAGGCTTACTGAAATGGAAACCCTAGAAAGGCTGTAGCATATCTCATTAGTTTCATTCCTCTCCAATACAGCAGGATTTAAATAAAATTACCACCTGTTTTCCACTGCAGGATGCATTTTACATTCATACAGAAAAGCAGTGAGCACTGACATCTGCTCTCCAAAGACATCTGCTAGGGAGCAAGGTGCACTCACATTTGCATCTGCAGGCACCAGAGAGGCTCACAGGCAGGCACAGGGTGGGAAGCACTTGCCAAAAGCCTGACAAACACCTGGCTGTGCTGAGCAGGATCACACCCACCACTCCTGGAACACACACAAGGTCACCATTTTATTTTCCCCATTAGCACATACAGAGCCCAGACAGCCTTATGAGAGAGAACATGAGGGATCAGTTTCACCATAAATCAATTCCATCACATTCCAGCTCTGAGTTTGTCATCAAAGGTCAGGTTATTCTGGAAAGACTCTGCTGGCATAACCACGGTGTAAAAGGCACTGCAGGAAGGTGGAGTTAACACACATCTGGAAGAGAACAGTGACCAACACAGCTGGCTGGGAGGAACAACCTCCTGCCCTGCTTTGAAGAGAAGCCTGCATTGGTCTGATTAAGAGAAACTGGCATGGTCAATCACATCTCCTTTCCTGCAGGAGGATCCTGAGCATTGCTACAGCAGAGAGATGTCACTGATGGGGCAGAGTGCCCTCACTGCTGGGATGTCAGAGAGAGCACACCTGGGAAGCAGTAATGAGTTTCTGTAAAAGATTCCAGTGTGGAGGGGGGAACCACTGGCCTGACAGATACCTAAAAAAAAGTGAAATGTTTAAGCAGAAATTTAAGCAGAAGCAGGGAGCTCTAAATCAAGCAATCTGCACCACTCACTCTGTGGTACATGAAGGATAAATCCTCACATTCAAAGATAAACAAAACTTCATTTAGCATCTTGGTTAAACAAGTACAAACCTCTGGAAAAGAACTCCACATAGCATGAAAAAACATTTTGATGCAAGACTTGACACAAGAGTTTTCAAAACCAAAAGCTTTTTTTAGAGAAAACTAAAAACCATCACCCTCCTCCTAGCAGCTGATTAAGAAGTAAAGAAACTACCTGATTTCTGAAAACACCTGAAAAGATTCCCAGCAGAAGAGTCACAGAGCATTAGCTAAAAGTAAATATTCCTGCATCCATCACTGCCTAATAAACCTCTGAACAAACAGTAAGAGCAACACCACAAAAGGTGAAGGAATTTTATACCCCCAGGCTGCCTTTACACCTTTTGTTCTGCCAGCCCAGCTAACCTAACCCTCCCCAAAAAGCCAGGCTGGATGGAGCCTTGAGCACCCTGGTCCAGCAGAGGGTGTCCCTGTCCATGGTAGGGGGGTGGAACTACAAAATCTTTAAGGTCCTTTTTAACACAATCCACTTTCTGATTCTGTGATTCTAAAAGGGAAGAATGAAAGAGGTGGCCAGAAATGGAGGATATGAACAAGGAATTTTTACAGAATCCTGATATAGTAGTTCCCTGATAGACTACAAGGCTTGAAAAAGCCTTGAAAATGAATTCTGTAAGACAGGAGTACTCCTTTGTCCCTCCTGTCACAGCAAACTGCAACAGAAAACATGAGCTATCACCTTGCTGGAGTGCATCACTATTTCTTTAAAAGAGACACCACGTTTCTCCACCATTTATAACTGCTGCTTCCTACAAAACCTTGGAGACATAAACAGAACCTTCTGTCATTCTCCTCTTCTTACACACAGAGAAACTCTGCAGTGCAGGCTCTATTCGTCCTCACTCATGGCATTTCATCGAGGAAGAAACAGCAGGAAAAAAGGAAGACTTGCCTGTTGGAGCATCCCACGTGCCATGTTCTGCCCAAACACTGCCTGCTACACTTCCCATGGCCAGGGCCTCTACTAGAAGCCATCCCACTGCTCTGACACAGGGGCAAATCAACTCAGCACATTACAGGATAGGGCATCACCTTTTCAGAGCAATATAAAACGTGTGTTTTGTCACTGCAAACACCCAGGAGTAATTCTCCATGCTTCACATCCCTCTTCCTACTTGCAAACACCTGCATTATGCTGGCAAACACCCAGCTGCAAAGCACTCCAGTGCTCTCTATACCTGCCAGGAAAGGCAATTCCACTCCACAGGCCCAAAACCCAGTGTTTCTGAGGTTTATGAGTGAGTAGACACAGGACATGTGGAAGGCCATTCTGCTTTCTTTTATGTAAGACCTCTGTGTATTTTCTGGAAGTGAACTAGTTCTGAACCTATTTTAAAAAAAAAATCACGTTGAGTTTATTCTCTTTTACTGTTGGTATGAAGGATATATTGGTTTTCATCAAATGCTTTGATTAACTATACTAACTTTTCACAATCCTATTGTTATTTTGAACAATTCAAAATACGCATTTGTTAAGCAAAATATCTGCACTTATAGAGGCGAGATCTTGCTGTACTGATACAATGGCAAGAAGAAGCAATTTTTTTATTTGGTAGACTTACATGAAAAGAATATGAGAGGATTTAAAAACACAAGGCAAAATGATTTTGCCAGCAGGGCTGTTATCTACATGAGCCACTAGAGGACAATGTAACCCAAGTTATTAGCAAAGGAATTTGCAATTAAACTTTGCTACTCATCAAGCACGGAACTTGCAGGACAAAGCAATTGAGCCAGATGCTTTTACTAGGGCACTGCCCCAGGACTTCTTACATTCCCAGAGAGAATTCCCCTATGAACTATGTACTGGGTCTGCAAAAGCCAAATTAATCCAAGAGGTGGAGCTGATGACACACAAGCAAAGTTTTAATGGCTGAAAATTATTTTCAGTCCCAGCCACCCAGCTGAACATGGTGCAGCAGCTTTAATGGACTGGTGCCAAAGCAGAAGGAAAAGGCCTCTGAGTGAAACTATAGAAAACAAGAGAGTCCTTGTCAGCAATGCATCTCATTATACATGAGCACTAATTGTGGAAGATGTCAGCCCCACAGCATCTCTAATGAACGTACACATCACAGAGCAGATCATGGCAAAGGAAAAACAGGAGGCTCAGCAGAGACAAAGTCTGTTCAGGTCACCTATTTACTGCTACTCAGATATATTTTCAGAATTGTAATATATGAGAAGTGAAAGACACCTCTAGGTTTTGCAGAGGCAAGGACCATGTCCATACACTACCAGTCATAAATCCTGACAGGTCTCTGAGTATCAGTGCAATATTAAATAATACAAGTTCGTACTTCTTAGCAAATTAAACATCATATATCTTCAGAGAATATTAAATAACTGAAGTTTGTACTTCTTAGCCAATTAAATGTACTATATATTAATATATTATTCATTTTTTATTTAGCCTAGACTTTCAAAATGCTTTATTTCGTATACCACATACAGAGCACATTAGGTCAATCATGTGTGGATACATTGCAATACATTGTGTAATATCAATTAATTGCAGGTGAGAAGGTACTTTAAAATGAAGGAATGGAAGTGGCTAACGTCGAACAGTATGAAAAAGTACACACTTTTCAGGTCAGAAATTCCCAAGTGCTGTCCTAGGAAGCCACTTGTTGTGCTCCTCTGGCCTATCAATTCACCTAAAAAAAAACCAAACTGGGCAAGGAAGGGACCCCTAAAGCTAAGTACTCTCATCTACAAGGTGAGAAGGGAATTGTGAGTTCCAATAGCTCCTGGCTTCCTGAACTGTGAAAAAATAGACTGAATTTCTTGGGAAAGTGGCAGCCTCTTTCTTTTCTTTTTTAGTTTTTTTTTCTTTTTTTTAAGTGAATGCATTCAATATTGGTCCCCCCTATGCTGAAGTACATAAAGGACTTTCTAAAAATGATTTTTGTATTTTGTCTACTGCTTTTTACACCCCACAAAAAATTGTGGAACTAGTGTTTGGGCTTTTTCCATCCACTCTGTTCAAACAAATGTTCAGAGATTTCAGGTCCTTACTGCAGTAAAACATATTATTTTTCACATTGAAAAACAGCCTTATAAATCATCAATTAATTATACACCCTGAACTACCCAGACTAAATCCCTAATTATATGTTGGAACACGCAAGCCATAGCAGGATGCAGTACATAACTTTTTAATTTTCATAACTCACAAGAGAGCAAAAGAACAATGATATATGGTATAAACCCAAATTGTACCCTTCCAATTTAATGGCATTGTTTTCTAGCTGATGCAGGATAAAACCCCACTCCATCTGATGACAGTTTTATTGCACTAGGAAATTGAATATAAGAGAATAAGAATAGTAAATTGAATATAAGAGAAAGTTTATGCTCAGCCTAATATCCATGATCTTATGTGATTGTTGACAAGTCTCACTGTAAATTTCTCTGCCATGTTTACTTTATCCTGCAGAGGAAAATAAAATATGTATTTTTTATGAAGAACAGCAAGAGTGATAGAAAATTTAATTTGACAGGGGTTGAGAGGAGAATGAAAGTGACAACAGAAGAGCAAAACCATTTTCTTTTTTTGTCATCAAGCATTTTAAGTCCCCAGAGTCCTCTACACTAGCCTTAATGTTTCCCTCCTTCATATGCAGCAACACCCAACTTGAACACAAAGAATGGCATTTTCCATGCTTCCAGGTACATTTAAAAAGATAAAGGGATTTTGTGGAGGACCTAAAGTGACCTTATCTGACCCTTTTGCAGAATTTGCACCCCAATCCTCCTGATTCATACATGCAGATGCCCAGCTAAGCAGGGCTGCACCATCTCTTACAG